TTTACAATCTGGACCCTATACCCTAATGACGAAGTCATCGGAAACAATCACAAACAAAACAATGATAGAAACAGTAAAGGTAGTTAGACAGATGAAAGAAGTAACTGGTAAGTCAAAATGGTTTAAAATTATGCCAAAATCATGTTATATACCTAGGATACATGCCAAGATAAAACTGTATAAAGAAGGATATCCAATAAAACCGATTGCAGACTTTAGAAACACACCAATGTATATGCTGTTAAGATTTCTCGCAATAATACTAAGACCGATAAGAGACAACTAAAAAGCCAGAATAGTAGATTCATTTGAATTAGTGAGACGACTAAAAGCCACTAAAATAGAGGAAGAGGAAATACTAGTCAGCTTTGATGTAAACAGTCTTTATACTAAAATACCCATTCAAATGGCCATGAATGCACTGAAAACGAGACTAAAAGAAGACAATGGCCTAAAGGATAAAACACAGTTATCTGTAGAAGAGATAATAAAAGGCGTGGAATTCTGTCTGACAACAACATATTTTACATCTGAAGGGAAAATATACCAACAAAATGAAGGAGTAGCCATGGGATCACCCATCTCACCAATAATAGCTGACATGTTCATGGATTTTTGGGAAGAGAATGCACTTCAACCATCCAGGTCATCAATAAAATGTTGGTGGAGATATGTAGACGACACGTTAGTAGTAATGAATAGGTATTTAACTAAGATAGTTCATTGGTAAAGTGCTGGTTAAACAAACAGGACGTCCGGGTTCAATCCCCGACGAAAAAGCTTTTAAACCTCGCCTAGCTGGTATCAAAGCCTGGAAAACAGGGAAGGTTGGGAGTGAGGTTAGCAACTCACTCACCCCTAAACACACAACCTCACCGCCACTGGAACTTTAGAGCTTGGAGGCCAATATATCCCACTAGAAAGGCAAGGAATCAAAAACCCATCAGGGATAGCAAAAATATTCGTTATAATGAATAATCATAATCTGAGACAAGTCCTTTGTTCACAACAGTATTTTCTTTCATGGCATGTTAGAAGTTGGCTGGTTTCAAAATATATTTTGTCAAATTTCACTTTATTTTGTACTTCGCTAAAATGATCCTCTGGCGGAAACCAAAATCAGGACAGTAAGCTTGTAACGACGGAAGACAAGGGTCAGGCAACGGATTGTTTATTGAGAAAATCAAGAGGTATTTGTAGATTTTTATGTACACTATTATTAGCGTTATTGTCAGAGGAGAAACAATCCATTCTGATTGGTTGTTTTCTTACTGAAGATTATTCTGTTATCTCTTTGTGGCCGTTTCTCAGAAAATCAAATCATATATATGTGAATCATATTTCCACACTTTAACTCTGCTGTGATTGGTTGGTGATTTTCTCAAGGTTAAGCTTTTTTATTTTTTTTCGAATGGCCCTGATTCGGGACGTGAACATTGACGTAAATTGTTGTCTACAATTTTAGCTTGCAGATACCTATATATATATATGCTTTTAAAGAAATTATATCCAGTGAGGCAATTGAATCAAAGGTGTGAATACATAAAATAACAATAATAGTATGAAATACAATTTAAATTAAAATGCTTGTGATTATAATCATAGTTAAATATCAAGCAGCAAAACAAGTAGTGTCATATGTAGAATAATACGTTAGATGTATGCATGTTGGAAAGGAGTGTATAATTATGGGGTTAGTAGGCTAATATAAAACGTAGATTAACTAAACAAATGTCTATCCCTCTACGGCCAATGCAGAAGTAGGGATTGTACATACTTCTTTTGTACACAAAGGTCTGGCTTAAAGTCATGAATCGCCAAGGCCTCCACTGTCTCCAGAAGTCGATAGAGAAGAAAACGCGGTAAGTTAGCATGGATTCGGTAGATGATCTTAAAATCATGATCAGGGTTGGCAGAGTAACAGAAGTCGATCAGGTGTTCTAGAATAGAGCTTCGCACACACTTCCTTTCTCCCTTGTAAAGGCATGCTGGAATATGTTCTCGTATCCGTGTGGAAAGAGTCCTCTGGCTAGGGCCAATGTACCTTGCTCCACAAGAGCGGATGAACTGATAGATGCACATGGAGGCGGCCATACGGAGGAGCTTCTCTTTTACAGAGGTAGAGACCAACTTACGGCTAGTGAACGTCATATGTAATTTTGCTGCAAAGAACGTCATACTGACTGATTTAGAGAGACGATTTTTGAGCATATCTGAAGCTTGACCACCCCTTTGAATTCCAAGTTCATGAATAGGGTTTTCTTTGGAACTGAGTTAGTGACCAGTTTAGACTGTTTATCCTTCGTGTTAATCTACGTACCTTTCCCTTATTACTACGATTATTATTATTATTCTCACTTTGAAATGTTTGCGCTTGTCCCACTTGTCATTCGAAATCCAAGAGGAAATGCTTTTACAATGTTGAATCCTATCTTATTAAATTTCACACCATGTTATGTAACGTTTTATATTAGCCTGCTAATCCTACAATTATACTCCCTTTCCCAACATCCATACACCTTATGAATTATTCTACATATGACACTAATTGTTTTGCTACTTGACATTTAACTATGATTATAATCATAAACATTTTAATTTTAATTGTATTTCATACTACCACTATTATTATTTTATGTCTTCACACCTTTGATCTAATTCCCTCACCGGATTTAATTTCTTAAAAACCATCTGTGTATATTTACGATTGTACAGCTTGATAATAAATTCGTTGTAAAGAGCCTCTTCGCTGAATATTGTGTTCTTAATGTTACAATGGGAATTATTAAAATATTAAAGTGGAATCAAAGTGGAAACGATATTGTTGTTCTTTTTACTGACGTTTCGCTATTCATTAATGCTGCTGATAATCGCTTTATCAAAGTAGCATTATCAAACCAGAATTAACAAACTCTCAGCTTATATATTACAACTTAATCATCGTTCGTCTGCATGGGGGCATTTTTGGTTGTAAAATTGGTCAACTGGTAAACATAACAAATCCAGGTAGGTGTAGATTGTTGGATTTGATAGGTGTGTAAAATTATAAAAGCAACGCGTGTTTACATAATGAAATTGTTTATCACATTCGTGTTGATTTTGTCATTTCATGGGAAAGGTGAGGGTGTGTGTGTTGTAACCAGGTCAAATTCTGTTTTAGTCCATCATTCCTATTCATATCAGACAATTTGGATTCCATTTGATATAAAGTGCTTCTGATGATATTAGACGTTCTTTGTGATTTCTGAAATGCTTTTTCTGGATGATGATTTCAATATCGTCAAAATCAGTTTTGTGACCTGATTCTTTAGCGTGTAGACAACCTATGGCTGATGATTTTTCAAGCTTTTCTAGTTCAACTGGATTTCTCGGTGGTCGAACAGATGCTCTACAGTGTTCATTTCTTCTGATTTTGATTTCTTTCTGGTGAGGTTTGTCCGATGTATATCGCATCACATTCCAAGCATTTTTTTAAAGACACAATTAGATAGAGAATCTTTAAAAATTTGGTCTTTTATACGGACAAGGTTGGTTTGTAGTGCGTGTGTCTAATATTTCGAAGGAAATCTGATATTGTGCTAATTGAGTACTTTTCTGATATCGTCTGACTTCTCCGCTCTATATGGAATGACAACTGTTGAGGCCTGTTTTCGGAACACGTTTTCGACTATACTTAATGCCAGTGTTGATGAAGTTCTTCGGGTAGTTATTTTTCTTGAGAGTCTCAGTAATGTTTGATATTTCTTTTTCTTTCTCATCCATTATCAACTTGGCAAAGCAAAAATGACCCCATGCTGAGGAACGATGATTACGTTGTTACATATGTATGAGCTGAGTGGTTTTTGTAAATTCTGGATTAATAATACTGTTTTGATAAAGCGATTATCAGCAGCATTAATGAATAGCGAAACGTCAGTAAAAACAGCGATATCGTTTTGTTTTTCATTTGTTCATTGGGAAATACAAAAAACACTCTTTATTATAATGAACATCATATACGAGAAGACAGGGATATCCTGGACCGACGCGAAGAATCTAGAAGACCTGGATTTCGAGCGTGGATGATTTGTGTTTGATGTCACACAAAATCGAAGAATTACAAGCGAAAACCGACAAACTGGTCGAAGAAGCAGCAAAGACAGGACTCCAGGTAAACATATACAAGACGGAGGTTATGAAAATAACCAACAACAACAACGGCAGCAGCAACATCCAGTGCCAATCACCATCAACGGCAGGGAATTGAAAAAGGTGACTTCATTCACTTATCTAGAGAGCATTCTCTCAACTACAGGAGGAACAGACGGAGATGTCAAATCGAGAATCGGGAAGGCGAGAAACACATTCATCAACCTGAAACCAATCTGGAAATCTTCGTCACTCAACATAAACAACAAAATTCGGATTTTCAATACAAACGTCAAGTCAGTCAGTTCTTCTATACGGATCAGAAACTTGGCCAGTGTGTCACAAAGAATATTTCCAACAGCCTCTTGTAGACCTTTATCAACAAATATCTTCGCTCTATACTGAAAATCAAATGGCCGGAAAGAATCACCAACAAGAAACTATCGGAACAAACGAAACAGGAACCAATCGCTCAACAAATATGCAGGAGAAAGTGGAGATGGATTGGACACTCGCTGGCTGAGGAGGCCGCTGGGTGACATCGCGCGTCAGGCCATAGCTCGAGTGGAACCCGAAAGGGAAGCGGCTAGTGGGACGTCCAAGGGTGACATGGAGGAGATCATGTAAAGCGGAGTTGAAACAGTATGGACTAACATGGATGCAAGTGAAAAATAAAGCAGAAGACAGAAGCAAGTGGAGACGTGCAGTTGAAGTCCTATGTTCCACTAGGAACCCAAGGGAACATTAATAGTAATGATATATACCCAATGCGCAAATTTTCCCAAACTGTTAAAAGTCAGCTTGGTTTGGACATATACAAATATAAAGTGAAAACAAATTACACAAATACAAGTACAGAAGAAAACACTTACAGCACAAAATATAATAGCTTGACCAACTGCAAATCCACCATAAATATCTTTCAATGCCTGATACTTTTCAATCCAATCATTAAAACACATATAGAATTGTTTAATATTCTTCAACGGGAGTTGACTACGCTTTATACGAAATTCTATTGGATTCGGGACAAAGTCATGCGCGAATTCAATGACAGAATCTTCATAAGTGGCTGAGAATAACAAGATTTGACAATTTTTGGGCAATTTTCTTTAGAGTTGAATATAATGAAGAATAAAAATCAATATTACAGTGGGAGGAGAAATAATAAATACATGAAATGTATTTTTAAAAAATATTTTTAATAAAACAATGAAGGTTATGAAGCTCACCTTTACCTTGATCAGTCACTAGGATATAGCCAATATTGTTATGTATCCTCAGTTCTTAGTGTCAGTGCTGGTCTGAATTCTATCAGGTACGAACCACCAACCAGGACTTCCTGTCGATTGTCTAACAAAGTTGACTTGTTTTTCTATCACATTTATGAACTGCGGCTTTTATTTGATCAGACAAGTTCATTGTCGAATTTCTGACCATCTGATCTTGAGTATTGAGCGAAGACAACTGTTAATGAAGGTCTGTAGTTTGTTTGAGATGCTCTTCATGACGCGCTGGCCAAGTCTCTGATCCGTATAGTAGCACTGACTTCACATTGGAGTTGAAAATCCGGATCTTATTTTTGATGCTGAGTGTTGTTGACCTCCACACAAACTTGAGAGTAGTGAAAGCTTGTCTTGCTTTTCCGATTCTTGCTTTGATATCCTCGTCAGTTCCGCTGGCCTGTAGTTGAAACGATGCTCCCCAGGTCGATGGGTGAAGGAGGTTGTTTCTTTCAGGTTCCTCCCATTAATGCTGATTGTTGTCAGTTGTTGTTGTTGGTGGTGTTGCCCAGGAATTTTCATCACCTCTGTTTTATCTATGTTTACCTGAAGTCCTATCTTTGATGCTTCTTCTGCTAACTTGTTGCTTTTCGTTTGCATATCTTCCAGTTTGTGGGAAATCAGACATATATCATCGGCGAAGTCCAGATCCTCCAAGTTTTTTGTGTGTGTCCATTTTATGCCTGTTTCCTCATTGCCCACTGTTTGCCGCATTATCCAGTCAATCTGGGCAGCTTTGCCAATCTCGTACATAGTACGGACATTCCATGTCCCCACAAAGACTTTTTCTTTTTTCTCAAGGAGATACATCGTGCTGAAGTTTCTGTAGCAGGTTTGTTTACAGGGTGGGGTTGCTAGCCTCACGCCTGGTTACAACAGTAATAAAATAAAATAAAGGGCATGACAATTACTCAGTTATATAAAACAAAGGTAGATACTTAATAATGAACCAGTTATATTTAAATGAATCAAGTAGTCCATGATGGGCGAAGATTGAAGTCTATTATACATGGATTTATAATTGTAGAGCCTGAGGAAGAAGTTATCGAAAACAATTGTTCGCTCAAAATCTTGTTTTGATTTCAATATGGGGATATTTCATTTACTGAGATTGAAGTCTATTGTTTTTTGTACACGCAGTTTAGGCTGTATGTGATTAATCCCCAAAAGTGCTTCCATCACCTTCAATAACCAACCTTGAATTAGAGTTATGTGATGAAATAATTGTGAAACAGTCATTAATATTGATTTTGTGACCTAATAATTATAAGTGGTTTGCAATGGATAATGCAGGATTTCTATTCAGATTAATCGCGTTGGGATTTTCTATATGATTTAGTGGCCATGTTGGAACATGTCCTTTTCTACGACATTGGAGCATTCTGTTGGTTCTACCTATATAGGTGTCACCACAACTTCAAGTGGACTTGTAGATACAGTTTGAAGTAGAGTCCATAGAATACGTAGAACCAACAGAATGCTCCAGTGTCGTAGAAAAGGACATGTTCCAAGATGGCTACTAAATCATATAGAAAATCCCAACGCGATTAATCTGAATAGAAATCCATCACCATCATTCATTGCAAAGCACTTAATTGCAGGTCACAAAATCAATATTAATGACTGTTTCACAATTATTTCACCACATAACTCTAATTCAAGGTTGGTAATTGAAGGTGATGGAAGCACTTTTGGGGATTAATCACATACAGCCTAAACTGTGTGTACAAAAAACAATAGACTTCAATCTTCGCCTACCATGGACAAAATGACCTATATAAATATGATTGGTAATTAGTATGTACTTTTGTTTTTTTATATAACTGAGTAATTGTCATGCCCTTTATTTTATTTTATTATTGTTAACCATGTTAGTTGTAAAGCGGTGGTAAAAAAACCTATGAAATGATATCATCTCGCGAAATTTGTCTTCTAAATACCTTATTCTAATACATGATAGTCTGAGGTCAAATTATGATCACAGCTCATACAATTTTGTTTATTATACACTTTGATATCTGTCTCATGACTCATATTATTGGACAAAGTTTTTAAAAACAAAAGAGATGCCCTTTTATATGTAAACCTCTGTTATGTTAATTACGATTAACTCTCCTGAAGAAGTCCGGACCAGTTTTCACCGAACGCAGTAAACGTTGGAATTAATCATTTCAATTTCGCTGAGATTTTACGAATGTCTACTTTTCACTCGGCGCCCAATTATTTTGCAACTATACGGGCAAATCTTGATCACAGATCATCTGAACTCACTTGTTTGTATAATTCTTCTGAGTCATCCTATTCTTCTTACTAGTCATCATTAAAAGTCAATCTGAACGAAGAATATTCTTTTCTCCTCTTCAGGTTCTCACACAATAATAAAATATAATATTTGTTGTCGTTACAATAATGACAGCCAGTTATGCGGTGGATACATTTTTCCAATGTAGAATAACAGATTAGTTATGGGGTGTCAAAATAAATAGTCGTATTTGTCTGACAATTGTGCTAGGCTGAAATCGATTACAAAATATTTCGATGAAATGGGAGACAATGGTGGTGATTAGTCATCATGGATTTGTAGAGTGTGGGTTAGGAAAAACTGACAAGTCAGTTCAGGGTTATAAAAGGTGTACGGTGAGTGAGTGGCTAGTACAAAGTGGTCTCTATTAAACAGGAGACAGACTATTATGAGAGGTTCATAATGAAATAACGAATGTGTGAAATGAGACAGGTGGAGGCACTTATTGAGAAAAGAGACAATATCACTAATAGTAAATCCTGATAGTATAAATGGAAAATTCGATAGTATTGAAAGAATGTTTGCATGAAGGACATAAATTATGACGTATAACAATAATTGTAATAAAAAGCAATTTTCCTACCCCACACTCTACAAATCTATTATGATTAATCACCACCATTGTCTCACATTTCACCAAAATATTTTGTAATCGAACAAGGTCAGGGGAAAGACTTAGGCAGAATTCGCAATAAGGCTGGAATTAGGGTGGCATTTAAGCCAAACAACCAACTCTCTAAGAGATAAACTTTGTCGGCTTAAGGACCTGTTAGATCCAATTAAGAAAAATAATATAATTAACCAAATATCGTGTCGGTTCGGTCGGTCGGTTTTCGACATAGAACTCTGCACATATGTGCGCCAGTTCAAGTCGCCACAATCTATGTAGCACACAAAGCAAGAGAAGGAAGTAGAAGAAATGCATATTAGAGACGGTAAACAGAGGTGTGAGACAAAGGAATAGTAATAACGAAGAACAAAACAGTTTCATTGGAAATCATAAGTCACAAGGAGTGGATGCATGTGCGCCACTGAGAACGATTTTGAGCCATGTCACCAATTGTTTCCAACCATTGGTTTTTACCATCCCGAGGGCCCCAACCAGGAAGTCTACATCTTCCTACGTGGCTTAGACTAACTGTTGTAGATTTCATTGACTGGTGAGGCCATGTTTTGGTTTGACCTCCGCTAGCTCTTTTCCAGCCTGGCCCTATGTCAGCAAACATTGCCCGTCTGTCAAAGAAGGCGATGACTAGGCATACGTGACACATGTCCTAACCATCTCAGCCGATGTAATTTCACAGTCTCGTCTATTGATTTCCCCTCCTTACCTAGTACTCGACTGATGCCTAACCTCAATATTGCTCACCTTATCATACCACTTCACGCGGGAGATAGAACGCAGACACCTATGATCGAAGACAGCTAATCTTTTCATGTCTTCTGCTCTCAATGGCCAGGTCTCACAGACATAAATATCGTGTAATGACTATGAGTGGGGTCACCTACATGGGTTAAACTAATAGGTCGGAGTAAATTAGATTATTAGGACGTAAAAATTTAGCTAGACCTAGAATGATTGACCCTGCTAAGTTAAGTAACCTAGAAGAAAGCTCAACCACTGTACTGCACTCACTTGCACGGAGTTACACAATAGGGTCGGACTAGGTAGAAGCAATACAAAGTAGTATAGCTAGGTGGAGAGACAGAGAGGTTAATCAATGAATCTTTGTTTATCGACTCAACACAGCACACATGCAATCGGAATGATGATGCAACGCCTATACCGGAGATATGGAAAGTGGCAACAAACAACAAGGGATATATATGAGACAAAATGTGAAGCCGTGTGACTCATCCGATGTGATTATGAGCAATAATTTATGCTTGAAACTTGTCATCCAGTTGTTAATACTGCATTATCACGGTGTGATATTTAAAATAAACTTATCTAATATGAGATTACATTCTGCCACCACAGTGCTCAAGTGCTACACTTACATCAGGGGGAAGAAGTTTTTTAAAGGCATTTCAACTCATACACATGATTACCCTTGTGGAATTTGAACAAGGCAATAACAAGCTCTGTCTCTTGTTATTGTATTGCTCAGATTCAACTTTTAATAGCGTATAGAAACAGAAGGCTAATAATTATTTATTTCGTGAGAATAATACATAGTTATAAGACAGATCTATCCTAATGAAACAGTTTTTTTTTTACACATATTTGGGATGTAGAAAAAGATGGTTAATTCAATGAAAACAATAACTGTATTTACTATTCTTACTGAAAAAAATGTCTACTTCGGGAAATAAGACAATTTATTTCATTTAAATAAATTTCTTTTAACCAGGTTTCTATATGAAAATATAAATATTTTTCAAACATGTTAGTGATAATAAACGAACTTGTCAACTATTGATATAAGAATAAAGCTTGTGCACTGTAGTAGAGTGTAATTCCATTATGAGACAAAATAATATAATTTACAAAATACCCTGCAATGACTGTGAGTTAAGTCAAC